CTTTACGCCTTGCCTCCTAAACAGAGCTGCTTCCGTGCTTCCCCAGGGAGCCCTCTGCGGGTTGTGTCCCACCTGCCTCCAAAAGCACATCTTGAAGGCCTCTTCAGAGAGGAATCGGGTTGGATTGCTTCCCGAGAAGTCTCCAAAGTGTTCCAGGCTTTTGGAGGAGTGCTTTCCTTAAGCTGAAGAGGGCTGCTGTTCGTGTTCTAAGTGACGCCATGTGCTGTTCACAAGCATGGAGTGAGTCATGCTCCCACGAAGCCATCTTTCTGCTCGCTGGAAGCCCTCTGGGGACAGGTTTAGGTCAGATCCCAAGGCAAGCAGGAGTTTGCCTTGGGTTTTCATGTGCAGTTTGTACCTTCATGCTCCAGGGCTCAAGAGCTCGATACGGTCAGAGGAAGCCTTTCTCTCAGCAAAGCCCTGTGTGGGGTTAGGAGGGTTAATGTTGGGCCATGCAGCCCTGGGAGAGGCTGACGGGAGGCAGGGGCTGGGATCCGGGTTCAATTCATCATTTCGGGGGGGTTTCCACTGGGTTTTGACCTTAAACAGCTCCCTGAGCGATCGCCTCAGCTGGCACTGAGAGCAGCCAGCCTTCCCTGAGGCTCTGATGCTCAAGTGTCCGCATGGACTTGTTCTTCCTGCAGGATGGAGTGGAGGTGGCGGTCTCCTGCGTCCATTAAACCGGTCCTGGAATCTGGTTTCCCATCTCTGAATAAATGCGTTGCCCTGGGTTTCAGAAAGGAGGACTTGGTGTTCTTCCCTCCTCCCCAGTGAGGAGCTTGGTTCTCCTCAAGAGCATCTCGGGACTGGGACGTGGGTGGCTGGAGGGGTGGGAGCCATCTCCATGCAGCCAAGCAATGCTTGCAGACACCAGCCTTGGCAGCTCTGGGGAGCCTCCATGCAGTGGTAGGGCTGAAAGGAGGCAGAATCCTCTCTGTAGTGCCAAAGCTGAGCTCTAGTTACCTTCTGGTCCCTGGGAAACGCTGGGTTTGGCTACAGGTACCCACTGGGGTGAAAGAGCAGCAGCTGGAGGAAGATGCCAACAGTGGACTCATGGAAAGCTGCTGCTGAGTGTGCCGGAGCTGGGGCAGAGCAACCATAGGCGTTGTCTTTGAGCATCCCCAAAGCGGGAAGCACACGAGTCCTACTTCATTCCAAGTTAACTTCACAGCTAAACCCATGCCAAGCTCCCTTTACTAACAGAGAGGGGGGGAAGGAGGCGCTAGGGTGGTTGAGGGGTTGGCACCAGTCTGATTTAACCAGGGGGTGTATAAAGAGCTGACTGTACTGCATGGGGGTGGGATGGATCTTTAGGGGGTGAGGCAACGCTCGGCTCCTAAGAGAACTGCACTTGGCTTTTAGGTCCCATTGGGACTTTAACCCGTACGTGCTGTTCTGAGGGACCTGCTTTGGGTTGGAAGGGACCTTAAAGCTCCTCCAGTTCCAACCCCTGCACCTTCCATAGAGCAGCTTGCTCCAAGCTGGCCTTGAACACTGCCATGGATGGGGCATCCAAACCCTATCCGTTCACCCCATCCCAATGTCCCCAAGGAAGAGCTCCCTAAGATCCCATCTCCATCTCCCCTCTGGCAGGTTAAAGCCATTCCCCCGGTCCTGTCCCTCTATCTCTTGTCCAAAGCCCCTCTCCAGGTTTCTTACCGCCCTTTTAGGCACTGGGAGCTGCTCTAAGGTCTCCGCAGACCACTTTGGACCAGCAGAGCACATCCCGACTGCTTCAGTGCTTCCTGGATAAACACGGGCTCTGATGGGTAACGGCCAAGGGCAGCTTCACCAAGGTAAACAGCACCCGATGAGGGCAAGGAGCAGGCAGGAGGCCACAGAGCCTTCAGGGAGCTTCTCCGAGCGACGGGAATGAAGGCAAGTTGCCTGGAATCCAGCACCTGTGGATCCCTGCTTGGTTCCAGCCGGCTGCGAGAGAAGGGAAAGCAGGAAAGGAGGAGTCGCAGGGATTAGCTGGGGAAGGAAGTGGTGTTTTCAGGGAGATTGGGAAGGAGAGGGGGGATTTTAACCTCCCTCCCAGCAGGGAAGGCAGGGCAAGGGGGGTGACAGCCCATAAATGGTGTCACAGAAGAAGAGGGATTTGGGTTTATCCCGCCGGGACTTCCTGGTTTTCTTTGGGAATACAGGGGTGCTGTGTATGTTCCGTGTCCTCGACGAGGCGCTGCAGCAAAGGTGGTGGCTGCTTAGGCAGCTTCAAACCTAACATGATAGCTTCGTAGACAGATGTCGGGTTTATGGGATAGCTGGCGTTTTAAGCCATGGAACTGGGTGGGAAAGGAGCTGAAGGTGGGCAGGGACACCTCACACTAGGCCACAGCACCCAAGGTTCCATCCAGCCTGGCCTCGAGAAGTGCCAGGGATGGAGCAACAAAACTTCCCTGGGCAACCCATCCCAGTGCCCCACCACCCTCACAGGGAAGAGCCTCCCTTTATCTCCAGCCTGAACTTCCCTGTTTCAGTTTGAACCCATCACCCTTTGTCCTATCCCTGCAGTCCCTGATGAAGGCCCCTCTCCAGCATCCTTAGCAGGGGGGGTGGAATTGGATGATGTTGAGGTCCTTTCCAACCCAAACCATTCCATGATCCTAAACTACTCTGTGTGTGTGTGTAGGGGTTGTGCTTGGCTATTTGGGAGCACGTGAGACTGTTCTGGTTTGGTTGTGGCTTGGGAGGAAGGAAGGGACACCCAGGCACTGTTTGCAAGGGCTCCAATGCGGGCCAAGGGAGAACACCCAGCTCGATCAAAGATAGGCTCTGTGGTTCCAGGAATGGGAGGTCGTGTCTTCCCGGCTGCTTGGAATTCCTGAAGGGAGCTGCTGCCAAAGGCAATACGGATTTTGGGGTGGGTTTGGAGGAGGGGAAAGGCAGCACTAGGTGTGTGTGTGTGTGTGATGAACAAGGGGGAGCTGGTGCTGGGCTCTTGGCTTTTAAACCTCACTTTGGCGTCTCTGACCCACGGAGAGGTGGGAAATGAACACGGAGGCTGCGGGCAGCAGCTTTGCCCACAGCCCAAGGGAAAGCCATTGGTGCTCGCAGCGCACCGACACCAAGGCGAGGATGGAAGAGCAAGGTGAGTGCATGCGAGCAGCCTGCAGGGCAGGGGGACGTATTTGAGCCCACGAACGCCTCGGGCAGCGGCGTTTCGAGCCCGGTCTGCGGCTGGGAGCGGGCCGGGTTTGCTCTCCAGAGGGAACCCGTCGTTTGCGTGCCGCTGCCTCCCCTCGCCGGGAGCCCCGAGCCCCTCACATCGCCGGCTCCCGCTGTGGAAGTGCCCAGAGCATCCCTGGGGGGGCATCTCCCTGCCCTGGGGCCTTCAGCTCCATGCAGGACCCGTCAGCTGGCAGCCGAGGCCCTGGCTTTAGTTTGGAACCGAACCTTTCCCTCTCCCCCCCCCCTCCCCTTTCTTTGTGCTGACAGGAGAGAATTCGCTTGCTAATTACAGCCGGCTCCGTTTGCAATGGGAATGCAGAGGGTGATTTATCAGCGAGCTGCGGACAGCTCTCCCCCGTTCCCTTGCCTGCATCAGCAAGAACTTCTTGCAAGCCCATTTAATTCCTTGTCATCTTTGAATCCAGCTCCTTTCCCCCCTTTAGTCAGGGTGCGAAGGAGAGGCGCTGGTTTATTAATCACTGTAGCAAAAGGCTGTGGAATACAGTGCTTCCTCGGGGGTGCTTGTTCCCTATGGCACCAGTCAGCATTCCCGAAGCCACAGGCTCAGAAGTAGCCAGGCATGGGAAAATCAGGTTCCCTCATCATGCACACCTGATAAATATGGATGTAGGGAGCCAGGTTTTGCTGCCTTTGGGGTCTTTAAAGGTGTTATTCCAGAACTCCCAGTGTTTTATGCAGGAACCTGCTTAAAACAAAGCCTCGAAAGCCCAGGTCTGTGCAACACTGAGGACACAAAGGGGTCTTCCTGAGTTGAAGGGGAACTTCTAGCTCATAAAACCAGGCATGTGCTTAAATTGAGGTCCCAGGTCTGTGGTGTTAGGCTGGAATGAAGAGAAGAGCTCTGGGTGCTGTAGAGCTCTTCCATTACATGGGATGCACTTGAACCTACCTGAAGCTGCATGGTAAGCGCCAGTTATCAAGGGTCCGTAGGGACAGCCCAAGGGGAATGGCTTTAACCTGCCGGAGGAGAGATGGAGATGAGCTCTTGGGCAGCAGCTCTTCCCTGGGGACACTGGGATGGGTTGAATGGAGATGGTTTGGATGCCCCCCCCCGGGCAGGGGCTTTGGATGAGGGTTGCAGGGACAGCCCAAGGGGAATGGCTTTAACCTGCCGGAGGAGAGATGGAAATGAGCTCTTGGGCAGCACCTCTTCCCTGGGGACACTGGGATGGGTTGAATGGAGATGGTTTGGATGCCCCCCCCCGGGCAGGGGCTTTGGATGAGGGTTGCAGGGAGAGCCCAAGGGGAATGGCTTTAACCCGCCGGAGGGGAGATGGAGATGAGCTCTTGGGCAGCAGCTCTTCCCTGGGGACACTGGGATGGGTTGAATGGAGATGGTTTGGATGCCCCCCCCCCCGGGCAGGGGCTTTGGATGAGGGTTGCAGGGACAGCCCAAGGGGAATGGCTTTAACCCGCCGGAGGGGAGATGGAGATGAGCTCTTGGGCAGCAGCTCTTCCCTGGGGACACTGGGATGAATGGAGATGCTTTGGACGCCCCATCCCTGTTCAAGCCCAGGTTGCTCGAGTGGAAGGTGCCCATGTCAATGGCAGGGGGTCGGAGCTGGCTGAGCCTTAGGGTCCCTTCCACCCACCCCATCCCCGCCCGCCTCCACGGCGGTCACTCACGAGGGGGAAGGCGGGGTCGCGATCGCAGCCGGGCGGGCGGCGCTAGGACCCAAGCGCGGGGGCTGCCGGAGGCGGGGCACGTCGCGGCGGCGGTGGCGGTGGGCGCTGGGCCCCGTTGTGCGGCAGCCGCCGGGCCCGCACCGGCCCCGCCGCCGCCGCCCCCCCCCTCCGCAATCCCCGCTATGGAGGAGCCATCGCGGCTGCTGGCGGCGGCGCACGGCACCGGGGGACCCCTGCCCGGTGGCATCCCCCAGGCCCCGCCGCCGCCCGCCGCCGCCGCCGAGCCGGTTGTCGCTGCGGGGCCGCCGGCCGCGCATCACGATACGGGCGATGTCCTGCAGCAGATCATGGCCATCACCGACCAGAGCCTGGATGAGGCCCAGGCCAGGTACCGGCGAGGGAACGGGGCGGGGGGCGCAGAGCCCGGAGCCGTGACTCAGCTCAGCTCTGCCGCGGTGGTTCCCGGTCCCGTTGCCGCGGCTCCGGTTAAGGGGAAAACGGGGGGGGGGGGTGATGGGGAATCGCCCGTTGGCAGCGGAAAGTCCCACCACGCTCGCTGCCCGGTGTCTCCGTGCCTTCGCCTCCCGGAACGCTTCGGTACCGGCCGTTCGCCGTTGTTAACGCGCCGGTTCTCCGGCCTCGCTGTGCTGGCACGGAAACCGCAGCCCTTGGACCCGGTGCAAACGGGGTTGGCCGGCCTGGGGCTGCGCCGAACGGCAGAACGGAAGCGGCGGCTGCTGGCGACGGCCGAAGTTTGCTCGGGAGGGGGAGCCCCGCGCACCCGCTTTGGGTTCGTTTCTGTAACCTCACCCTAAAGCTTGGCCGGTTTGGGTTCGTTTCTGTAACCTCACCCTAAAGCTTGGCCGGTTTGGGTCCGTTTCTGTAACCTCACCCTAAAGCTTGGCCGGTTTGGGTCCGTTTCTTTAATCTCACCCTAAAGCTTGGCCGGTTTGGGTCCGTTTCTGTAACCTCACCCTAAAGCTTGGTCGGTTTGGGTCCGTTTCTGTAACCTCACTCTAAAGCTTGGCCGGTTTGGGTCCGTTTCTGTAACCTCACCCTAAAGCTTGGCCGGTTTGGGTCCGTTTCTGTAACCTCACCCTAAAGTTTGGCCGGGTTTGGGTCCGTTTCTTTAATCTCAATTTAAAGCTTGTCCGTTTTGGGTCTGTTTCTTTAACCTCACCCTCAAGTTTGGCCGAGTTTGGGTCTGTTTCTTTAATCTTAATTTAAAGCTTGTCCGTTTTGGGTCTGTTTCTTTAATCTCAATTTAAAGCTTGTCCGTTTTGGGTCCGTTTCTTTAATCTCAACCGAACGTTTGGCTGTTTTGGGTCTGTTTATTAATCTCAACCTAAAGTTTGGCCGGGTTTGGGTACGTTTATTAACCTCGTAGCTGAGGAATGAGCTTTGAAAACTGGCCTGACCGCTGTTTTAAGCCAAATTACTTCAATTCGGCCTTAGCAACCCTGCCAGGCTCCAGCTGAAGCTCCAAAGGTGCTTGAATTTTAAAGCACTTCCACATCGGTATATGACTACACCGAAGAAAGAAGCTCTTGTCTTCTGCATGAGGCTGTTGGGGTTGCACAGAGTTAGCAGCCCTGGGAATGGTAGGATTAGGCTTGGTTTTATCTTTGCTGCCTCGTAGCTAAAGGCGGCTTTTTAAGCCCGGTGCCAGTGCAGAGGCTCGGGAGTCATTGCCCTTCTCCTGCTCTCTCCCGTTTTCCCCTCCTCAGGCGAGGACAATAGGCTCCAGCGCTGCCTTCCCGGCTGCCTTTGTTCTCCGGCTGTTTGTGTGGGGTTGATGTTATCAAACATCTCCCTCACTGACCGGTTTTACGTCTTGTGGCCGCGTCACCGAGGGAAGCCTTCAGCTCCTGCCAGCGGGCACGGGAGAAGGAAAGGGCCGGTTTGTGTTTAGCTCAGCCCCAGCTTGCAGCCATTGAAATGCTATTTCGGACCCGCCAAGGGCTCACAAGAAGCAAAGGAGACTTTTGGGGGTGGATGTTGCAGCCAGACTGCTGCTTTCTGCTCGCTTCCAGCACAAGTTGGGCACCTAAGGGTGAGCTGCCCTGGAAAACAGGAGGTGAAATACCCCTCCATGCAAAACACCGCCACGCTCCAGCTCAGCCCAAGGCTGTTTTGATTAGACATGAGCGTGGCTTCTGTGTTAATGGTGTCATTAACGCTGCCTCTTCCTGGGGAGCAGGGGGAAAGCGAGGCAGCAAATGCTGGAAGAGCTTCAAAAAGGCAGACCTAGCACGTGCAGGGCTCGGATCCGCTCCGTGCAGTCTGCTTTCCATGGGGCAGGTGGCTGCGAGTCCGTGGTCCTCCTGTTTGGGTTCCCTGTGCTCTAAACCCACCGGGCTTTTCCTTCCTGTTGGGTGGCTGCCACCCATGAGATGCTCTCAAAGCATCCCAAGCTCCACAAGGACCTTTGTCTCCTCGTGGAGCAGATCTGGGTGCCAACCTGCTGGGACTGTGGCACGCTCCAGCTTTGCCTTTCCTGTGGGCCTTCAACTCCTTTTTTCTTCTTCTTCCATTTCAGAAAGCATGCCTTGAACTGCCACAGAATGAAGCCTGCTCTGTTCAGCGTCCTGTGTGAGATCAAGGAGAAAACAGGTGTGTTGGTGTTGGTGTTGGCTTGCCAAAACCCTCATGTTTCCTTGTTAGCTTTGCTCCCGTTTAACATGGCCCGTGTTTTCCCTGATAGATTCTACAGCTTCAGGCTGCATTTGTCTCTGTGAGCTGGCAAATGGTGGTGGTTTTCCCCTTTAAGGAACCGGTACCCGAATCGTGGTGGTAGTAAGAGTACCACGTTGGCAAATAACTGGTACAGGGGAAAAGGGACACTTGGCTGTGCTTTCTAATGGCTTTGAGGCAGACGTGAGGAGAGTTTGGTTGCAGGTAGTGCCTTCTTGCTACAGCGGTGTGCTGCTCAAGAGAAACGGGGTGGGATGAAGTGTGTTGGCCGGGCGTGCTTTAACGTGTGTCCGTGCTGTAAGGATCACTGTCCTTAAAAAGGCTCTTTCATCCAGTTTTTCCTTCCTCCCCCTGTGTTTTCTGGCTTGAAGCTGGGATTTCTCCGGGGTAACCAGGGCCAGCCTGATGCTGCTTTCGCTTGGGTCTCGGAGGTTTTTTGAATGTCTGATGCTCTGTCTCTTCCTTATTTAAATTGCGGGGAGCAGATGTTATGGCTTGGAGCAAACAAAAGCCTGGGCCTACTGTAGCACAAGGGGGTTTGTGACCCAGGCACACAAGCTTCTTTTCTAGCTGAGAAATCAGTTTCCAACGTGTTCCTCCTCCTCCTCCCCCCCCATCTTTCTGGTGCTCTTTGTTGGAGCACGAGTGTGGCTCACAATAGCTCAGGATCAGCTGTACAAAGGGTGCTGAGAAATGCTCCTTGGTCCTGGGTTAGTAATTAGAAAGAAATGAGAAACGACTCTTTGTCATTGAAATGGATTTGGCCCCGGCTCCCTTCCCCACCCCTCCTTACCCCAGATAATTCCCGGGTTGGATGATTGGAAACCAGTTCTGGGAAAAGCAGGTATTTTATTTCCAAGTCTTGCAGAGCTGCCTGGGGCATAGGCAGTTCTTTGAAGAGGCATCAAATCTAATCAGTTTGGGAGCTCACAGAAGCATTCGGAGCAGTTTTCATCTCCCCAGCAGGGTTTTTTTTTGCTGGTTGGGTTGTGCCTCAGGTGTGTGAGTTCAGTGGCAGACTCCTATCTCGAAAGCATCTGTAGCATTAAAGATACGCGCTTTTATAGGGCTGAATATGATGTTTCAGGGTTTTGCTTGTGGGCTGATGGAGGACACGAGGCCATGGTGGGCTTCAGGCCCCTTGGGGCATGGCAAATGTATCTCTACCCACTTCTGTGCGACGGGGCTCGGGTTCTGCCTCTCTGAGGTGGGGAAGGTGGTTGGGGCAGCATCGGAACGTGGTGATTCTAGCTGCAACCCTCCATCCTCCCTCTAGCTCAGCTGGGTTAATGCACCAGGTACCTTTGCACTCAGATGTGCCTTGGCAAGGGAAGGGGGAACATGCTGACTCTTTGCTGCTGAGTCTGTCGACATCCTTCTGGGGCAGAGTCTTGTTCTGCAGTGCTGTTGTCTTCTGCTCCCATTCGTTTTCCTCTCTCCCCACTGTGAGGAATGAGCCCCCAGGTTGGGGGTAGCGTGGAGAAGGAGCCGAGAAGGGGTTCAGGATTGCTTTGGGTAAAATAGAAGCTTCCTCAGCTGACAGCTTGAGTTGTGGGTTGGGATTTCATGGGAGTTACTGGGGTTTGCAAGTGGAAGAGAGGGGATGGGATCATCTGGGACAAAGCTGAGCTGCAAATGGGGAGAGGTGCAGGTCCAGCACTCACCTCATGCTTCCTGGGACTCCCCACGTGTGTTTTACACAGGCTGGCTGCTTCTGGCCTGAACTGAGGAGGTTTCAGTGCCAACGCGAGGTATCCTGCCCCAAATAGACACATCTGGTACATTCTTCTGCATCAGTTGCTCTATAAAGAAAAGCAAGTCCAAGCATGTCTCACTTATTTTGGTACCAGGGATCTTGTTCAGCTCATTAGACAACTGCGACTCGTTAATTAATGAGATGCAAATATATTGTAATGATTGCATTTGCATACTGACTGAGGCTCAGCACCTCAGGTTGGGCTGTATTTTAATGAAGGATTAATTAGGAATGATGGGGATTTCATTTGTTATAATTGTTTTACAGATTTGATGACTCTCTGGTAGGTGACATGCCCGAGGATGCACACGGTTGTATTAGTGGACAGGAGGCGTTCCTCGGGCTTCCTGAGCCAGTGTAGGGCTTGTCCTGAGCATCCATAAAAGTGATGGATTCTGAAGGATTTTACCTCTATGCAAGGAATTCTTAAGTCATGCTTTGGTTTAAAGCATGGCCCATCACTGGTTGAGCCATAACTCCAGCTCTTGGAGTATGACGGAACACTGCCAGGGATGGGGCAACCTGTGCCAGGGCCCCACCACCCTCGCAGGGAAGAACTTCTGCCTCGGATCTCATCTCCATCTCTCCTCTGTCGGGTTAGAGCCAGAATCAGAAGGACGGAAACCCCAAGGTTGAGATAAGAACAGTTTAATAACTGAAGTACAATATACTACTACTACTACTAATAAGGGGGGAGAATATAAAACTAAAAGGGAAAGAAAACCAATGAACTCAAATGATGCCCAATACAATTGCTCAGCACTCGCCAACCGATACCCAGCAGCAATCAGTCTCTTCTGGGTGACTCCCCCCAGCTTTTACCCCAGCATGACATTCCATGGCATGGAATAGCCCTTTGGCTAGTTCACGTTAGGTGTCCTGGCTCTGCTCCCTCCTGGCTTCTTGTGCCCCTCCTCGCTGGCACAGCACGAGGGCCTGAGGAGTCCTTGATCAGGGTAAGTGCTACCAAGCAACAACTAAGGCATCAGTGTGTTATTCCCAGATTGAAGCCAAAAGCCAGCATGGCACCAGCTACTGGGAAGGAAAGCTAAGTGCTACCAACCCGTTGGGAATGGTTTACTCCAAGTTTCTTCTGCCAGCCCCCCAGAGTCTTCCCGTGAGGTGAAGGTGTGTTCCACGCGCTCTGCAGCAGTCAGCTTGAGCCGAGCTGATGTGTAATTGATGATAACTAATGTCTGATTACCATGATGAGACAAGTGACATAAAATTAAGCTGCAGCTGGGAGCCTGATTTCAACGGGAGCTGTCTGATGTGCATCGTAATGCGCAGAGAAAGACGTTTGGCAGCAGCATGTTCAAGTAGAAAGGTGACACCAAACCCACTTAATTGGAGTGTCCATCCCAGAAGGTTCACAGGAGTCTTCCCAGGAAGACTGAGGAGTAAATGGCCACTGGGGACCTCTGGGCAAGGAGAACTGGGGGGTTTCTAAACCCAAATCTAACAATAAATAAGACTCCACCTTTTGTGTGTGTTTCATAGAATAGTTGGGGTTGGAAAGGGCATTAAGACCCTCCAGTTTAAGACTTTCCAACCTGGCCTTGAACACTGCCAGGGATGGAGCATTTACCACTTCTCCAGGCACCCTGTGCCAGCGCCTCAGCACCCTCACAGTAAAGAACGTCTTCCTTATGTCCAGCCTCTGCTTCCCTTAAGTTTGAGCCCATTCCCTCTTGTCCTATCTCTACAGTCCTTGGTTTCCTTTCCTGTAATGTTCACACAAGAAAGGGGGTATACAGTAGGTGCTCTGCTGGGTTGGGTTTGTTTCAAAGGAATTCATTCCATCATGAGCTGGAAAAGCCTTCAAGTAGCCAATGCTTGTTGCTGCCTTAGCCCGTGCTCAGCAGTTACTCAGGTCCTACATCAGGACTGTTCTGCTTTGCCTGTTGCTGGGTTAAGACGGCTGGCGATGCTCTGGAGGAGATCTGCCTTGTCCTGATGAGTGACTTCAGGTCGGCAGCCACTCCAAAGCTCTCTCTCCATCAGAATTATGCTGGAGTTTCTGGTTGTTGAACCTCAGCGTAAGGAAACTGTCTCCTGGTGCGTTTTTTGTCCCTGTTTCAGACGGTGATAGACTTTGAATTCAGCTCCGATAAGGCTTCAGTCTATGGCCAGGTGCTGCACAGCCCGGTGGTATCCTTGGTGTAGAAAGGCCGAGCTCCAGCTCGCCCCTTGCCTATAGATTCCCTCCTATTTTCTGCACAGACCTTACTGAAACCTCTGCGCTGCTTTGCCAGAATTGAAGTGGATGCTCTTCCCTGTTCCAAAATAACCTTTTCATTCCTTCTTTATGTCTGTCTAGTGTTAAGTATTCGCGGTATTCAGGAAGAAGATCCCCCAGATGCTCAACTAATGAGACTAGATAACATGTTGCTGGCGGAGGGTGTCTCCGGGCCCGAGAAAAGAGGAAGAGGAGGACCGATGGCTGTAGCAGCAACATCAGGTGGCTGTCCAAATGACAATAGCATTGAGCACTCTGACTACAGGGCCAAGCTGTCACAGATCCGACAGATATACCACTCTGAGCTAGAGAAATATGAACAGGTGATCTTTCTGCATGGAAGAGTTTTTATCATCTCAATTACAAATAACTGTTTTTTCCTTGGGTGTTTGGTTGTGAGGACACAACAGGGAGCAGAAGGAATTCAGGGGACCGCGAGGGTAGCAAAGCCAGTTGAGAAGGGATCTCAGTGTTGCAGAAGTGAGGTGCAGATCGAGGGCCTGGACATCAAACTGAAGATAACAAATGTCTCGTTTCTCTGTGTTGCTGTTTTCGTGAGAGTAACTAGAGCAAAGCTGAAACCTGGAAGCTCCTCTGCAGCTGCTTGGGTTTAATTTCGTGTCGGGGAAACGGACCGGAGCGTGTTTCCCTGTTTGTGGATACAAATGTGTGTGTTTCCAGGCCTGCAGTGAGTTCACCACCCACGTCATGAACCTGCTCAGGGAGCAGAGTCGAACGAGGCCCATCTCGCCCAAGGAAATCGAGCGCATGGTGAACATCATCCACGGGAAGTTCAGCACCATCCAGATGCAGCTGAAGCAGAGCACGTGCGAGGCCGTGATGATCCTGCGCTCGCGCTTCCTTGACGCCAGGTACGGCCACGGCAGAGGCTTAAACCTGAACTGCTTTTCTTGCTTCACCCCAGAAGAATCATAGAATGGGTTGGGTTGGAAAGGACCTTAAGATCATCCAGCTCCATCCACCTGCCGTGAATACTGCCAGGGATGGGGCAGAACTGCACACAGTGCTGCAAGGGGGGTCTCACCAGAGCAGAGGAGAGGGGCAGGATCACTGCCCTCGACCTGCTGCTCACGTTCCTTTTGGTGCAGCCCAGGACAGGGGTGGTTTCTGGGCTCAAGCACACACTGAACCTGGCTCATGTTCAGTTTCTCATCACCCAACTCCCCCAAGTCCTTCTTTCCAGGCTGCTCTGAATCACTTCTCTGCCCAGCCTGTAGCTGTGCCTAGAAAGGACTGAAATAGGAAGGATTCATCCTCTGTTTTGCTTGCTAGGGTACACTTTGACATCAACATCTCTTTAATCCCACTCAACTCTAACCTTTTTCCTCAAAACACGTGGATTTTAGAGGGGAAAAGAAGCTGACAGTGTCCTGTAGCCAATATATAACATCATTTAAATAGGAATAATTCCTGTTTCCTAGGCGTAAACGGCGGAACTTCAGCAAACAGGCAACAGAGGTGCTGAATGAGTATTTTTATTCACATCTGAGTAATCCTTACCCCAGTGAAGAGGCCAAAGAAGAGCTAGCAAAGAAAGGTGGCATCACGGTTTCACAGGTACAAAGTGCTTTGGCTGGAATTAAGTGACCCTTTTTCCTCCCCTCAAACAATGGTTTGGGTTTTCCCCCTCCCATAGTTGGCAGCAGGCTTCGGTTACCAGTACTTAAACATGATTTTGCTGATTCCAAAGGGTTTAGTAGTTATTTTCTGTGCAAAGCCTAGTTTAAAACATCTCCTTTACTAGCAGCTTGTGAATCTAGTGGCAGATGGAGTAGTTTGAGCTCATACTAACAGTGATGTATGCCTCCAGGTTTCCAACTGGTTTGGTAACAAAAGAATTCGCTACAAGAAAAACATGGGGAAGTTCCAAGAAGAAGCCAATATTTACGCTGCAAAAACAGCAGTGGATGCAACTAATGTCGTGGCTCAAGGCAACCAGGCAAATTCTCCATCTACACCAAATTCAGGTGAGGCACAGCACCAGGGAAGGGTTTGGCCTCCTGGGAGCCTCCCGTTATTCCTTGTGATAATCAGTACCGGTGTTTGAACAAGTTGTAGGGTGTCTTTTCCTTTCAACTTCTGTAATACTCGTTGAAGAACCATTTGGGGTGGGTTTTATTTCTCAGTAAAACGTGGGTTTGGGTTTGTTTTTTCAGCTTCCTCTGGCTCTTTTAAGATGACAAATTCCAGCGATTCGTTTATCAACTTGCAGTCCTTGACTTCCTACCAGAGCTCTCCAGTGGGAGCCAATGTGCAGTCACAGGTCAGTAAGGAAAAAGAAAAGCCCCAAACTATCCTGGTGTTAAAATCCCATTTCCCTGTCCTTTAGATGGTATGATCAGGATGCTCGGGAGGTTGTGCAGTCTCCGTCCTTGGAGCTACTCAGAACCAGCCTGCTCTATTTGACCTTGCTTTGGTTGGATTAGGCAGTGTTGGGGTTCTTTGATCTCTTTACATGAATGAATGGGTATTTGCTCATCTTAGAGTCAGTCTTGTTCCATGTAACTAGAACCCGGCTTAGCATTTGTGCTTAACAGCATTGTTAAACTTATCCTAAATGTCTGAATCCAGCTGAACTGCATAAAATTGGCTCCTCTGCCGTAAAATCTTTAAGTAATAGGTGTGATTCTCCGTTCTAACTCCACATGCTGATGAACTAGCTGTGTATAGCTCAATTAATAGCTATAACTGCAAAGGAAAGATGGCTTCCTGCAAGGAAACCTGCCCCTGGGTTAAAGAGTTTTTGCGTACCAGGTACAACTGCATTACTTTCACTTGATCTTGTTTAATCCTCATTGCTCTCCTTGTTTCTAGATGGATTCCTTACATCATGTCATACACCAGGCAGGAAGATACGACACAATCGTGGGGAACCCTTTGTATACGACGCAGCGCATAGATGTAAGATGGACCAAGGTTTTACTGACTTAGAAACACAAATTCTGCCCAAGATCTGGTTAATGATCTGAATTTTTATCCCCTTCCCCCCTGGTGACTGATGTGGGATACAGAAAAGATTGATAAAACACCAGCCGTTCACAGAATCATACAGAATGTGATTTTATGATTCATAGAACCATACAGAATCTGATCCTGTAACTCACAGAACCATATAGAATCTGATCTGTAGTTCACAGAACCATATAGAATCTGATTCTGTAGTTCATAGAAGCATATAGAATCTGATCCTGTAATTCACAGAACCATATAGAATCTGATCCTGTAATTCACAGAGCCATATAGAATCTGATCCTGTAACTCAGAACCATGTAGAATCTGATTCTGTAACTCATAGAACCATATAGAATCTGATCCTGTAACTCAGAACCATATAGAATCTGATCCTGTAACTCATAGAATCATATAGAATCTGATTCTGTAGTTCATAGAACCATATAGAATCTGATTCTGTAACTCAGAACCATATAGAATCTGATCCTGTAACTCAGAACCATATAGAATCTGATCTTGTAACCCATAGAATCATATAGAATCTGATTCTGTAGTTCATAGAACCATATAGAATCTGATCCTGGAATTCACAGAACCGTATAGAATCTGATTCTGTAATTTCACAGAACCATATACAATCCAATTCTGTCATTTCATAGAACCATATAGAATCTGATCCTGGAATTCACAGAACCGTATAGAATCTGGTTCTGTAATTTCAGAGTCACACAGAATGCAATTCTGTAATTCACAGAACCATACAGAGTCCGATTCTGGAATTCACAGAATCATACAGGATCCGATCCTGTCATTTCATGGAATCCCTCCTGGAGACCTGATTTCAAATACTGCCCCAGACCGCATGGAAATCTGTGCAGTTCAGTTCATTCCTGCCACGAGGAAGAGCCCTGGGAATAAAGTACCACCATCAAATCTGGGAGGGGAAGAGGTTTTGCAGCGCCTTCCCTGCCCTATTGCAGAGCCAAGACCTGGGTACTGCCCTTCTGGGAAGCTGTTAGCCTATGGAGCCATACTTGGTTGCCCACAGACCTTAAGGATGCAATGGACACCGATGTCTTTCCTTCTCCTTGCAGGCTAATGGCAGCTGGCAGGATGCTCCCACCCCTTCATCCATCACCTCCCCGGCCGGAGACCCTGGAAGCGTGAACTCGGATGCGTCCAATTAAGTCCTTAGGACCTGTTAATGAGAGGGAAGGGGTCATTAGTGTCATTTGTCAGTGTTGCTCTATTGCCAACCCCGGTGTTTCACACAACTCAGCCGATTACCTCAGACACCCCCCCCCCCCCTTGGAACCAAGAGCTTGGGATTCCAATGGTACCTCTCTACCTCTCGCCCTCTGTTTGTGCCCCTTTGGGATGTGAAATGGTTCCAAGAGAACTCTCGCTTCGTTTTCCAAACCAAATTCACTTTGTTGCTTTTAAAAATACGGGTTTTAGGGCCAGCACCTAAAACCGGCGCTTCTAAGGTTTTCCAGCTTCAGAAAAGAAACGGACTTCTGATTTCTGTTGTTTTTTACCATGACTTTTCTGTTTTAGTCGATAGCTATTAACAGTTACCCCAACCTCCCCCCCCCCGTATTGTAATTGTATGCGTTCTCTGTATTGTCATTTTGTAGAGGAAAATAAGCTTTTCTTATCCAGACTTCACTGGGGAGCCAGTTAATGGGAACTGCTTGACCAAAACTCGCCCTTGGCCTTTGCTCTGGCTCACACCTTCCCCTCCTCCTCCATCCCATCCATCCCCCGAGCCCACCGCGCCCCGGAAGCGGTTTCTGTGCGTCCCCGCAGCTGTTAACAAAGAGCCCGCCCCTTTCCCTTGGGATTTTATCAAAGATAATAAACTTCCAAAGCCTTTTTTTCCCCCTTTTTTACCCCTTTTGTGGCCTGCCAGCCTTTTCCCTCAGGCGATGGGGGGGGGCAATCTGCGCATGCGCCGTGCATCTTCCCGCCTTTTCCCTCAGGCGATGATGGGGAGGGGGGCGCTCTGCGCATGCGCCGCGCGTCTTCCCGCCTCCTCCCAAGATGGCGGAGGGCGGCTCTGAGGGGAAGGAGGCCCCCGGGTCTGGCCCGGCCCCGCCGCTGCCGTCCGCTGGGTCCGAGGAGGAGGAGGAGGAGGAGGTGGAGGTGGAGGAGGTGAGCGCTGGAAGGCGCCCGGCCCGGCCGTGGGAGCCGCGGGGAGGCCTCGCTTCCAGCCCCGTAACCGTTTCTTCCCGCAGCGTTTTCCCGGCGGAGCGGGCGCTGCGGCCGCGGGTGTTGTGTCAGGTAAGGGGTGGGTGGTGGTGGTGATGGGGAAGGCACCGGGAACGGGGGTGCTGAGCCCGGGTCCCGGTGGGGACGGGGCCAGGAGGAGGAGCTCCGTCCCCGGAGGTGCTGAAGGGGGTGCAGGGATCAGCGACCCGCTGCTCCCGGTTGGAAAACCAAGCGCTAAAAGCAGGTTTGGTGCTTTTGGATCCGTAAGAAAGGCCATTTCCTCGCTTTCCATCCTGCTGTTCGCTGGCTTTATCTCAGCTCCCGACTCTGGAGAGAAGGAAGGGGATCCTGAGCGATGCCTAAAGCAGCCTGATGCCGCTGTTAGCAAGAGCGTTCGTTCCCCGGAGACAGCTGGAGCAGTGAGGAGGAGAAGCTCCCAGCGGAATCCCGGCGTCAGGAATAACCCCCTCAGTCCAAACCCATGGTGTCGATCCAGCCTGAAGAACAAAGGCAGGAAATCCCTGCCCCCTGTTCACCAGGATGTCACAGGTATGTCCCAGCCCTCCCTCCAGCAACCCATAGAGGGAGGTTTGCAACCAGATGATCTTAGGGTCCCTTCCAACCCTACCTGTTCTGTGCGAGTCGAATCAATTAAGTTGAAATCAGATCATAAAGATCATATAATCGGATGATATCAGTTGAAATCAGATCATAAAGATCATATAATCGGATGATATAAGTTGAAATCAGATCATAAAGGTTCATCAGATCATATAGTCGGATGATATAAGGTGAAATCAGATCATAAAGGTTCATCAGATCATATAATCGGATGATATCAGTTGAAATCAGATCATAAAGGTTCATCAGATCATATCAGTTGAAATAAAGGTTCATCAGATAAGTTAAAATCAGATCATATCAGTTGAAATCAGATCATAAAGGTTCATCAGATCATGTAATCAGATTGCATCAGTTGAAATCAGTTGAATCAGATGAGTTGAATTCTGATTTCATGGCACGACCAGTAGGAATAACTACTAATAGCTAATACACTAATAGCGTGGCTGCGTTATTCCTACCTCCTCCCTGCTGATGTCCATGTTGGAAGTGGTTTTGGAGATACTGGAGGATAAAAGGAGATGCTGCCTTAAATGAGTGCGTGGCAGTCTGCCCTTTTCTTGCCGTGGTGTGACTTTTCCTCATGGGGAACTCTCTTTCTCCCTCCTTTTCCTCCTCCGTATCCTGCAAACTGCACTGTGTACAACTGGTTTTAGTGTCTTTTGAGAGCACTGGAGCCATGTAATGGTTCTTGAACAGTTTTGTTCTGCTTTTCCCCCAGAATTAAGCAAAGCAATCAGCCTGGATCTGCCAGAGGAAGACCGGCTTTCCGAGCTGCTCTTCTCCAGTTTCCAGGCAAGGCCTTTCCCCTGCCACCAAACATTCTGATCTGGGAGGAGGGATTCTTTCCTCCTTCAGTAACAGATTCCCCCCCACGAGCTTTGTCCTGCACCTCAGGAAAGGCCACTAAAACCTTTTCCATCTTCTCCTTAGTTTGCAGCCCAGAAGCTTGAGCGAAGCTTGAAGCACAAGGATGGCTTCAACCCAGAGGCTTTCAGATCCAATGGTAAGGGGTGACAGGCATGTCAGGAAGGGGAATCCTGAGCTTCAAAATAGCAGCCCTTCCCTGGTATCCTCTTGGAATGACACCAGGCATCTTCTGGAGGGGAGGAGCAGCTTGCTCCAAAGCCCCATCCAGCCTGGCCTTGAACACTGCCAGGGGTGGTTCATTCAAACCTTCTCCATTCAACCCATCCCAGTGTCCCACCACCCTCATAGGGAAGAGCTTGTGCCTAAGAGCTCATCATCCATCTCCCCTCTGGCAGGTTAAAGCCATTCCCCTTGTCCTGTCCCTACAAGCCCTTAATTAAGATGCTGTGTGTGACCTTAGTTTCTGGGAGGAAAGACAAACAGACAGAGTAATCGGTGGCCACAGCGATGAGTTACTCCTCTAGAACCAGGATAATTAATCACTAGAACACATTCCCACAGGGAATCACACCAGGAAGCAGTTCTGAATTCCCAGTTCTCCAAGCAGCACGTGTGAGCATCGTGTTAACCTGCCTTATTGTGTCTCCATCCCCAGCTCAGGCAGCTGGGGAAGACCTGAAGTGTTTGCTGCAGCAGCTGAAACAAGACGGAACGTTGCGGAGATGTGTCCAGGAACCAGAAAGGTAAGGACCTGCCGTGCTCATCCCTGTGGGATGGAAAGGTGGGAAGGGGTTCTTGGGGAGCAGGATCAGAGCCTGAGGGGTGACTGAAGTGGAAAGACCAGACGTGAGGAAGGAATTCCATCTGCTCACCTGAATTTGCTGCATGACCCCATTGCCTGCAGCTACTGGGGCTCCTGGGGCATCCTTGCCTGTGGCTACTGGGGTTCCTGGGGCTGATGCTGCTGGGCAACCAGCACTGAATACTAGGGGGTCATTACTGAGGATCCTAAATCCCTTGGGATTCCTGTGCACCACCCTAAATCCCACGGGCTTCTCTCTCCCATCTCAGGGTGTCACAGGACTTGGCTGTGGAGGAATCAGTGGCCGAAATGAAGGAGCACATGGCCAGGTAGGCCCAGGATGGGCACAGCCTGAGGCTCGCCACCCCTTCCTCGAGCCTATTTTGGGGCAGATTTCGTTCTATTTTGCCATTTTTGCCTCAAGGAACCTGTGCTGTGGCCCTGCTTCACCCCCTGCTCTCTCCTTGCTCTGCAGGTTAACTGCCGAGTCCCATGCCTGGGATGAGCTCCTGCTTCGCCACCAGGAGAGCGCCGAGGAAGCCGCCAGGTGGGAATCAGCACCCACCATCATTCTTCTGCCTGGGGGTTAAACTGATCATGAACCCATCGTGGTGCTGCGAGCCCCGATGGATAAATGACTGCTGTTGCACAGGCGGCTGGAGGAGCGCCGGGATAACAGCGTGCCGGTGGATTACCTCCACACCTCTCAGGCCGAGGTCCTCCGCAGCAAACCCAACTACCAGCAGATCCTGGCCGAGCAGAGGGAGGCGCTGACCTCCATGGAGCTGGTGGTGAGTTGGGCTCGGGGAAACGGGGGGTGTTAGGGGCAAAATCCCTCCCTATCCCAGCCGGGATGTGGTGATGTTGGGTTCGGGTTTTACCCTTCATCCTTGGCTCTGCAGTTCGATGGGCTGCAGCAAACGGGGCGGCTCTTGCAGACCTTCACCGAGGAGAGCGAGCAGTACCTGCAGCGCCTGTCCAGGCAGCTCGGTAAGGGGGACGTGGAGGCCTCCCGGTGTGGGGGGGGGGCCGTTAACGGGCTTTAACGGGGGTTTTCCTCCCGTTGCAGCCGCACGGACCTTCGGGCACCTGGAGCAGTCCCCCGTGCGCAAGCTGATCGCGGGCCCGCCGCGGAGGCAGCGCCCGCCGGTGGACTGAGCGGTGCCGCCGTTAATAAAGGCTTCCGCGTTTGAAGGCGGGCTGCAGGGGAGGGTTCTCGCCTCTTATTGGTCATCGCGTGTGTCAATCTGAGCGCTTCAGCCAATCGTCGCTGCCTGTCGCAGCGCTCGTCCAATGGCTGCTCAGTAACGGGAGGGGGGGCGGAGCTCCGCCATTTCCGCGGCGGAAGCGGCTGCGATGGCGGCGGACGAGGCGCCGCTCACCGGCGTGGGCTGGGCGGCTGCACCCGAGGCGGCCCCCGCCGGTTGGACCGTGGTAGGCACCGGGAGGGAAGGAACGGGGGCGATGTCGGCCCCGCCGCCCGGTTCCTGACGCTGTCGCTGTCGCTCCGTGTGCCCGCAGATCGGCGTTACCGTGGAGGGCACGGCGGCCAACCTGGGCAAAGGCTTCGGGCTCAAGAGCGGCGGGTACCTGTGCGTGAGCGGCGGCAGAGCCCAGGTGCGGGGTGAGGGGGAACCGGGACCGGCAGCGGGGGGAGCTGTGGCCGGTGCGGTGCTGAGCTCCCGGCCCGCTCCCATCCAGGCACCTCCCGGGCCCGTGGTGACCGATGTGCTGGTGCTGAGCGAGCGGAGCCCGCAGCCCCTTGGCTACACCCGTGCCCCCGAGTTCCCGGAGCCCCGTAAGTGCTGCCCCAAAGTGGGAGGAGACCGGGCCGAGGAGGGAGTGGTGCCCCCCGGTCCTCCCGCCTGCTCTCACACCCCGCAGGACCCGGCGGCTCCCGGAAGAAGCGGCTGTACGTGAAGCTGGAGCCGGTGGCCGCCGTCGACACGGCCGTGGTTGACATCAAGCTGAGCTCCAAGAGCAAAACCCTCCCCTGTTACACCAGAGCAGGGTACGGGCCCTCCCCCAGGCCTTTCCCAGCCCTTTGTCCCAAGCCCCAGCTTGGCTCCGGGATGGTTTCGTTTCAGGGAAATGGGGAATTTTGCCATCTGGTGTAAGAAAGGGCCCGTTCTGAAGCCTGTCCCCAAGCCACGGAGCATCAGCACAGGCCTGAAGCAGCTCTCGCTCCAGTCCCCTGACTACGGGTACACACACTCGTTTATACACTCCCCTCCCAAGTCTTCCCTGGCCACGTCCAGGAATAACTCCTGTGACTCCCAGTTCCTGCCCCCTGCATCCAGGGCTGGTGCTGGCTGCTCACCTCTTCCCACTGCTCCAGGGCACCCGCTGCTCCCTGCACCATCAAACGGGCTGCTTCTCAGCACGAGGCTCTCTATGACACCTCCAACATCTACGGGCTCTCAGGTAACAAAAGTGCTTCTTTCGTGGATGACACCAGCTTGGGTGGGAGTGTTGAGGCTCTCCAGAGGGATCTGGATCCGTGGGATGAGGTTCAACAAGGCAATGAACCACATGCTGCACTTGGGCCACAAACACCCCAGGGAACACTCCAGGCTTGGAGAAGAGTGGTTAGAAACTGCTTATGGAAAAGGAGCTGGGGGTGCTGACTGATGGAGCTGAGCACGAGCAGGTTGTGCCCAGGAAGCCACCAGCATCCTGGCCTGGCTCAGCACCACTGTGGCAGCAGGGCCAAAGCAGGGGTTGTGCTGTGAGGAAATGGCCTCAAGCTGTACCAGGGGAGGTTTAGATGGAGATGAGGAACAATTCCTTCCCCTTAGGGTGCTCAGGGCAGAGCTGGAGTCGTACCATTGTAACCTAAGGCCCTCAGAGCCATGGGTTAGCAGTGCCCTGGGCAGTGCTGGGGAATGGCTGGACTGGATGAGCTTAAAGGTCTTTCCCAGCCTGGTTGATCCCATGGTTCCCCTCAGGGCTGCTCCATCCAGCCTGTGTTTGTGCTTGGGACTGCCCTGACCCAGGGGCAGGACCTTGCCCCTTGTTGCTGACTCCAGCAGGTCCACATGGGCCTGCCTGTCCAGGCCCCCCTGGCTCCATCCCTCCAGGGACTCACTGCACCACACATTCTCCATATCACCAACAGCTGTTTTATGCCCCAAGGAGGTAACTGTGTCCCCTGAGCACCTTCTCCACCGTTCCTAAAGCCTCTCCCTTCTCTCCCCAGCCATGGACGGAGTCCCTTTTACACTACACCCCAAATTTGACACCAGGCTCAGCTCTGGCAGCAACGTGAGTCCTCCTTTAAGCTGCTGTTCTTAGTCCCTGCTCCTCCCTCAAGTAGACACATGGCTTTGGGGTGTTTTTTAGGCTCTCCTCACTGACCTGACTGTTAAATCACTTGCTGATATTGAGGCAGAGGTGAGTAGCTGCACTGCTCACGTTTTGCTTGTGAAACATCACAAAATGCATGTGAAAACAGTGAATTTCTGCACTCCCAGCCCTTGCTCCTGACCAATTTGGGGTATTTTTGGTGTGTTTTCAGTACAATTATGCCTTTGTGGTCGAAAAGACGGCGGCTGCCAGGCTCCCCCCCAGCGTGTGTTAGCCCCAGAGGCCACCTCAGGGATGTAAAGTGCAGCCAAACCCCCCTGCGGGGCTCAGCTCCTCTTCCTCACTCTGATTAAAGCTCAGGCTAAGCTCAAGCGATGCAGTCGCTCTCTACTGCCAAAGAATAAACTCTTTTCTCTTCTCCCCTGCCAAGACCTGGTTGTGATGGTTCTGAACCTCAGGGCTGGTGTGGCTCATGTAGTGCTTGTTCTTCTATGCGCTGTCACCCTTCACTCTGAGCATCACCTCCTCCGAGGGTGGTGATGGGGGAGAATTCCTGCCCCTCATCAACGTTGTCTCTCAACCACCCTGTTTCTGCCTCACAAAGCAAAGTCCCAAACGCCCTTCAAAATACATCAATTCTCATTTTAGTTACCAAACGCTGTAAACGGTTCCTCAAACGTCAGGGCAGTAAAAACCTCCCGAGAGGGCCTGGAACCAGGGAAGAAGCCACCTCCTGGGGCACAGAGGTGCTTTCCACAGCCTTTGGCAGGAAGTTTCCCCCACGCCAGTCTCTGACTGGGCTCAGAGTTACGGTCCAAAAGGATGCGGGGTGATGGAAGACGGCCCCTGGGTGCTGCCCTTGCTGGGTGCGAGGCCCTGGGTGTCCAGCTCAGGAAGGCACTTTGAGCTTTGCACTCCCCAGCAGAAACTGAAGGATTCGGTCCACTACCAAAGCAAGGAAGAAGTCGGCCAGCAGCACCTCTGTGATCACCACCTTGAACTGGGAGAGCAGACACAACCTGTCAGTCCTGCTCCCTTCCTTCCCCTCTGCTCCCGATGCGCTATGGCAGCACTAGAGCTTGAGCTCCTTCCCTCATGGGTTGAATGGAGAAGCTGGGGCTGCCCCATCCCTGGCAGTGCTCAAGGCCAGGTTGGATGGGGCTTGGAGCAAGCTGCTCTAGTGGAAGGTGTCCCTGCCCATGGCAGGGGTTGGAACTGGGTGATCTTAAGGTCCTTTCCAACCCAAACCATTCCATGCTCCTATGAAACCCCCTCCGGCATTCCCAGCAGGGAATGCTGCCTGCTCACCTCTGTGGGGATTTCGACCAAGCCAAACTGCTCATTGAATTCCGGTGAAGAGCCTGTGAGGAGACCAACGATGGCGAGTCCAGAAAGGAGGATGCTCCACAGTAAAGGCTTGTTCTCCCGGAGGCTTTCCATGAAGGGATGGCCCTGGAACACAGCAAGGAGAACCTGTGAGCAGAGGTGATGCTGGACAGGGGCAAAAAGAGTTTTTCCCCCTGCAGTGCACTGACAGAAGGGAGTTTGCCATTCGAGGACATCTGGGTTGGATTATTGCACCTTCATGCCAAGGTCACTTCTCTGGTGGTGCCAAGACACAACTTAAACATGGCTTGCCTTGTAGTTGATAGCAAAGGTGGCCATCTGCATCGCCATGGACATGATGTAGACAGTGCTGTTCACCAGGCTGGGCTCAAACTCCTTGTACAGATCCACAAACTCCTCCTGTCTGAAAGAGAAGGAAGCTGGGGGTCAGGGACCAGGCCACAGGGGAGGAATCCCCATCTTGGACCTGCTGCTCACGCTGTGTGTGCAGCCCAGTGTATGAGGGGGTCTCCTTGACCAACCAACACCCCCAAGTCCTTCTCCTCAGGGCTGCTCTCAAGAATCCCACCATTCCTTATCACAAAAAGTGGGAAAAAAAATCCCAGTTTCGTGTGGGTTTCGGAAGAAGCTTCCCAGTATCCCACCTCATCGGTGTGATTCCCCTCTCCACATGTAGCAGACACTGGAATTGCCACGTAGCATGGACCAGATTCCCACTTGCTCCAGCACATCCTTGCCCTGCCAAAGGCCTCTCCCCACCTTCCTGCCTGGCAGGAAGCAGAGGGAACATCCCTCAAGGCACGCACCTGGCGTCGCTGCGGGCCTGGGCGCCGCGGTACAGGTACACGAGGCTGAGGAAGTGCACCAGGAACTGCAGCAGCACTGTCAGAACCGTGTAGAGGTTGAAGATGTTTGGCAATGGGCGCTCCTTGGACAGGGTCTTCAAGGGCTGGGAGAGGAAAGCAAAAGGGGCTGGGTGGTTTCCACCCTTCCCAGGTGGTTTTCCAGCAGAATCCAACCACGTTTGCGTTCCTCAGCAAACCCCAGCGAAAGGCACCCCCAGGGCTCAGCTGGTGCAAGGAACAAGCTCATCTGGGCCACTGAACCGTGTTACTCATCGCCCTCTTCCTCCTGAGCAAAGGCTGATCCCTCCATCAAGCACTGGCCTCTGGAATCCAGGGGGACAAAACCCTTTAAACAGCTTTGGGTAACGCTGAGAGCACAGGATCCCTCCAGAGGCACCTGGACAGGCTGGAGAGCTGGGCCCATGCAAACCTCATGGAGTTCAGCAAGGCCAAAGGCAAGGTCCTGCCCTTGGGCTGGGGTGATCCCTATGAGAGGCGAAGCTGTGCCTGCCCCATCCTTGGCAGTGTTCAAGGCCAGGTTGGACACAGGGGCTGCTCTAGTGGAAAGAGTCCCTGCCCATGGCAGGGGGCTGGAACTGGATGAGCTTTCAGGTCCCTTCAAGTTGGGATTCTATAGACCCATAGAATCTGCTCCCAGACCAGGCAGACCCCAGCCTGTGCTGCACCCCTGCGCTGTGCCTACGTGGGTACAAGACCTTCCCCTCATCCTTGATGGGACTGACACCAACCAGCCACTGCCCCACCACCCTGCCCTTACCTTCGACCTGGAGATGAAGAGGAAGCAGCCGGCCAGCAGCAGACCCTGCAGAGTGGCCTGGAAGTCACTGAACTTCACCCCTTCCAAGTAGAGGACGCTCTGGCTGTAAGCAAGGATCAGGGCGTTCAGGGCAAGGATCTTGAACATTTGGAGCGTTGTCACGAGCGTGCAACGACCTTGCTTGATCACGTGGCAGACTGAGGAGCAAGAGGAAGAAGCAGTGTTTGCAAACACAGCAGGGCCTGGGGCTCTGGCCCTCAGTCCTCTCCCTTTCTGAAGCCCTCGCTGTGTGAGGAACCCCTGCAGGTGCCATGGGACCAGGGGGGTTTTTCCCCACCCCACCACCTCCTGGCTTTTGCTTCTTACGTTGGAGACCCAAAGGCTCAGGTCCCACCGGGCACTTACTGCATTGAATGGAAGAGAGCTTGGAGGTGAAGGGGGCTGCGATGCTGGCGTCGCCCAGCTTCACAACTGGCACACGTTCCTCTTCCAGATCCTTCAGGACCTGACTGATCCGCTCCTGCAGCCCGGGAAGAGAAAGGGATAAAGGCACATGGCTCATTCCCACAACCTGGCTCCAGGGTGATCCTGCGCTGGCCCTCTCCCACAGCCCTGCTCTAAGGGGAGGCCTTGAAGCCTTCCTGCTTGTGGCATTGACCAAAGAGCAACGGGGATTCTAGGTGCAAGCACAGGAAAGCTGCTCTTTTCCCGGTACATCCTCCCACTTCCACGATTAGCACTAAATCAGAGCAGGAACAAAGAGCACAGATCCCTTCATCAAGGGCTTTGAAGCACGTCGTTACCAACCCTCTGCATGGCCAGCTGCTCCTCTCTTTGGGACATGACTCTGTGCTTGGCCCCACGGGAGGTGGGTTTCACCACCCCACTGCCCACGGACGGCAGAGCAGCCTTCCCATCACAGGCTCCATCCCGAGCTCTCTTCCTCCGCTCGGGCAGCTTCTCGGGAGCGTTTCCCAGCAGGGCCACTCCTGTAGGAGCACAAAGACAGGAGCTGCAGGGGAAGAGCTCTGCAATCCCTGTGCCAGAAGAGCATTCGCACACAGCAGGAATCCCAGCTGGCTTTAGGTGGGCAGGCTGCAGGGACACCAGAGGTTACACCTGAAGGGAAGCTTAGGGGTGGGGGAAAGAATAGGAAGAATCTTCCAGGCCAAGGTGTGTGAATTCCTGCTGGTGCACACGGTGGGTACCCCACCAGCACACACATCCTGCCTGACACCGATTTCTGGTGTGGGTCAGGCTGATTCCAGCCCTCAGAACACCAAGGAAAGGAAGCAGAGACGGGTTGTGTTGCTTGCCAAGGGGCGCACACGAATCCTGCTCTCACACTCACCCACATCTGCGTGTTTCAGAGCTCCCACGTCGTTGGTGCCATCCCCACACATCAGAGTGACGTAGCCCAGGCTCTTCAGAGCAGTGATCACAAACTCCTGCACACAGGAAGGCACAGTGAGGGCTGGCACCTGCACATGCTCCTGTGCTGCTCTCTGGCCTATGAGTCTTGGCCAAGTGCTTGTGTTCTGCAGCAATGGGATACCCTCAGCCGGGCTCTAAAGGCTTCCTGTGCAGGTTGTGATTTAGGAATGCAGAGCTACAGCTGGCCAATGGGTTCAGAGCTCTTTAGGATAACAACAGCTGAGCTCTGGCTCTTGCTGGCTTGAGCATCAGCAGAGGTGATGGAGCTTGGAGCCAGCTGCTCCAGTGGAAGGTGTCCCTGCCCATGGCAAGGGGCTGGAGCTGGAGGAGCTTTAAGGTCCCTCCAACCCAACCCATTCCATGATGCTATGATCTACGTGGCTCTCTGCTAAGAACCCTCCTAAACCTCTCACCTTCTGCTTTGGCACCACTCTGGCAAACACCTGGATGTGAGGGATGAGCTTGAGCAGCTGCTGCCTGTTCACAGACTGCAGATGAGAGAGACCTTCCCCAGTCACACACAGGTCGTACCGCTGGGTCAGCTCTTGCAAAGACATTGGGAAGGTGGGGAGCAAGACAGCCCCATCAATGGATTGCCACTGCCAGCTGGAGCCTGGAAAGAGAAGGGCAAGCTTGGCATGAGCATGCTTGAGGTACCCGGCTGGGAGAAATGCTCCCTGCACTGCCCCTGGTGTGTGCAGCCCCATCAAGGGACATGGGCTCCCCTTTCCCTTCCAGCTTCCCTGGGTGGCCTCTGAGCCTGCAGAGCAAGGAGGGCTTTAAGCTGCTCTTCCTTTGGTTATTTTGTGCTCCAGTGGCTTGGTTTGGGAGCTGGCAGAGGGATGTATGCAGCCTGCTCAGCACTCCAAGCCAGAGAAGAGCAGGGCAAAGGACAGAGGGTTATTTAGGCTTCTGGAAAGTGAGGGACTCCCACTGCAGCATCAAGCAGCCGTGCTAACAGCTCCAGTGCCCTGGGCACTGCTTTGCCTCTCGTCCTCCCCACGAAAGCAGAGTTTGCTGCATGG